TGAGTCAACAGGGCCCCCAGAAATAACCCCGGGCGGGGAAAAAAATTCAAACCAGCTGCCCCAGACCTGAGAGGTGGGAAGGGGGGCGGGGGGAAAAAAGTTAAAAAAGTTGCCCTGGTCGCATTGCTTAGGTGTTTCATCCGCTGAAATGAGGCGGCGTTGTCTGTTTTACCCGCAGCGCCTCAAGAGTCGCGCTGGAGGTGAGGGAGGACTAGGCTCGTTTTGGGATCTGCAGTTTGCATAAGGTCGGTGTTGCAGGCGAGACAAGAGTTAGTTCCGCAGCAAATACTGGCGGTAGGCAAACATAACCCCAACCGTTAGACTCCACAGTTAGAAAAATAGGCAAAGCTGGGTTTGGGCCTTCAAATGTAGTTGTGGCTTCAAGCGCAGTAATACTTTCAATGCCAATGATGGATGTAAAAGTCACGAGACTGTTCACCCACTACTAACATGAACATGTGGAAAGCAGCTTACAGAAACAATGCTGTGCAAGTGTAGTGAATCTAAATGATCGATACTATAAACATCATAAAGGATTAAACTTAGTAAGATAGTCTTTTAAAACTAAAACTGGCGCTACAGTCACCAAAGTGGTACAAACTCCTAAAAATGGCTTTATCCGAACAAATTGTCCTGTTCTGTGCTGTGCTCATCTCTGGGAGATGAAGTGCCTCACTCAAATTCATTTCAACCTGACTTAGTGCTTGATGGTGTGCATGTTTCATGCTTTCTAGTGCAAGACCTGGGAGCAGAAATAAAGCTTTTTGTGTCGCTACTTCATAGAAATACAGTGCTATGGAACATAAAAGCGTAGCTGGAGTGAAAAGTAAGAGTCAACATACCTGGAATCTGAACCAAGTGACATTGACCCATTTTGTGACTTTGCTAAATCACTGTTTTTACTCTCCCTCCATCTCTCCAACTATAAATAGAAATAATACACCACTATTCAAGTTAGACAGAACGCTGGCGTTTCAGCAAAAGCGCTCCATAAATAAGGAAAAACCAGGCAGCCTGGGAAGCAGTTACCTTTCTTTTGCTGAAGACCTTCGCAGGTTGCAGGTACGTGTCCCAGTACAGGAAAAAAGTCAGTGAGTGGTTAAATAAAAGATAATCGAAGCATGAAATACAGAAAATCTCGCAGGCAGTGTTTATGTC